GCTACCATGCCCGGTTGATTTTTTTGATTTATTGTAGAGATGAGGTCTCGCCAAGTTGCCCAGGCAGGTCTCAAACCTGTGGACTCAGGCAATTCACTCACCTCGGCCTCCCAAAGCGTGGGATTACAGGCTGAGCCACCGAGTCCGGCCTCTTTTTGTTTTTAAAGACAGCTGTGTTGTCCAAGCTGATCTCAAACTCCTGGGCTCAATCTATCCTCCTGCTTTAACCTCCCAGAGTGCCAGGATTACAGGTATGAGCTGCCATACCGATGACCACAGAGTCACTCTTCTTTTAAAAATGATTTTGGTGGACTCTGGGTTACAGGAATTGTTCTTATTTATCTGGTACCTGTCCATGGAGTGATATAGGGAAAGAGATATAGTTCCAGACAGCAAGATCCTGTATGTTGAGGGTATGAATTTGTTGGTTTGTGCAGCAAAGGCACACCGCAAGAAAATCACTTGTTATCTCTAGGAATTAGCTGGCTCAGGGAGGGGCGGTCTCTCCTGGATCAGCAGACCTCAAGATGTCAAAGCATGATAAAATACTGGAAATACAAGCCATAATTAATATAAGACCTATCACTCCAACTCTGCCTCTGTCATTGGGTGGAATTCTCCCTATGTGTCTTCACATCACCCTCCTTCTCCTTCTGGGTGACTCTTCTCCTACCCTTGGAAAAACACTAGTCATTTTGGATTATAACCAACCCCATTCCAGTATGGCTGCATCTTGACTAATTACATCTGCAGCAACCCTATTTACAAATAAGGTCACATTCTGAGGTACTGGGGGCTAGGACTTCAATGAATATTTAAGGAGACATAATTTAACCCATAATATATAAAAAATCTCAAGCAGGACTGAAAAAATAATTTCCACTGAGACACATGGTAGTGAAATCTCAGAATACTAAAGACAGAGAGAAGACATTGAGGGGGCGAGAAATAAAGTATGCCAGGAAAGGGGAAGCAAACTGAAGTTCTCAAAAGCATCACAGTAATAGAGAAGATAGTGGAATATTATCTTTAAAATGCTGCAAGAAATTGTCGATCTGGAATTGTCTACCCAGCAATATCTCTTAAAAATGAGGGCAAAATAAAGATAGACATTTCAGAGAAACAACAAGTAAGCTTAACCCCAACAGATCCTCCTGGAGAGCTCCTAAAAGGTATACTTCAGGGACAGGAAAGGTGACCTGGGAATCAAGGTCTCTGGTCCAGTGGACTCACCTCAAGTGTAATGTAGGTGGTCAAAGAATAAAGATTTCCTATAGCTGAGGATATTCAAAGCAACTCACCACCCATTTTAAATGAAGAACAGTTCTAAAGTGGGTTTTGAGCAGTACAATTTCATCGACACAAGTTTATAATATTCTCAATAAGGTACATCCTTCAATATTTAAGATACAACAGACATCATTTGCAACTTTATATATATATCACTGTGGAATAAATCAGAGCTAAAACATGTATTACCTTTATAAGAAAATCATAAAAACCTTTTGAAAGCCATTAAGGCTGGGCGTGGTGGTTCAAGCCTGTATTCCCAGCACTTTGGGAGGCTGAGGTGAGAGGATTGCCTGAGTTCAGGGGTTCAAGACCAGTCTGGGCAACTTGGTGAGATCTCATCTCTACAATAAATCAAAAAATTAACCAGGTGTAGTGGCGCGTGCCTGTAGTTCCAGCTACTTGGAAGGCTGAGGCAGAAGGATCACTTGAGCCCAGTAGGTCGAGACTGCGGTGGCCATAAGCAGCATCCCACTGCACTCCAGCCTAGGCGACAGAGTGATACTCTGACTCAAAAAAAAGAAAAGAAAAGAAATGACCTGAATAAATGGAGTCAAATGCTGTCTGCCTTGCTATTGTTGGGTAGAAAAACCTCTTCTCTATGCTTTTTGGTCTTCAGCTGGGTCTAAGAATTAAGCTGACACAAGGAAGATTAAGAAGGGGAAAGCATACAGGCTTTATTTCATGTTTAGTGAACATAGGGACCTTCACAAGAGACGGAAGTCCCAGAGCAGAAAGATTTTATACATCTTAGACAAAGAAATGATACATTTGTGGAAAAATGATAAGACAAAGGGGTTGGCGTTCTAGGCAGTAAATTTTGGGGAAGTAAAACCTTTGTCCGTAAAGCCTTCATTTCCCCTGTTGGAGATTTCCCTAGCAGCTTCATATGTTAAAGGCTGAGTTGATGAGTATGGAGAAAAAAACCAGGTTAGGGGCAAGAAATCTGCAAAGGGAGAGAAAAACATCGATTAGAGTAAGAATGAGTGAACAGGAAAGAACAGATCTAAACAATTTCCCCATATCCTGTTAAACCAGTGTCTCACTTCTGGACAATGTCTGTACATAGGATGGATGAGCCTCTTTTATCTGATGGAGAGTGTTTGCCTTGTTTTTTTTTTTTTTTTGAGTTGAAGTCTCACTCTGTCGCCCAGACTGGAGTACAGTGGCACACTCCCGGCCACCGCAGCCTCGACATGCTGGGCTCCGGAGATCCTTCCACCTCAGCCTTCCAAGTAGCTGGAACTACAGGTGTGTGCTACTATGCCTGGCTAATTTTTTTGATTTATTGTAGAGATGAAGTCTCACCAAGTTGCCCAGGCGGGTCTTGAACCCGTGGACTCAGGCAATTCACTCATCTCGGCCTCCCAAAGCACGGGATTACAGGCTGAGCCGCCTTGTTTTTTAACAGAGCAGCTTAGACACTATTTGCTCCAAGGGATTTACATAGAAGCAGCATTATTCATGATCACTCAAGCTTCTCCTTTTGGGGCTGTCGGTGTGTCCAGGACACAATAATTTTAGAATACAACAGAAGATAAACAGTTAACTTTGACTGGAGTGCTCCCAATTCTTGCAGAGTAATATTGTACTGTGGGAATATTCAGAACTGCCCTTTCTATCTCATAAGTTCCAAAGTTTGGGAAAAAGAATCTCAACACTGAACTTAGAATTGTAATACACAAATGGAGTTTCCATACTGTTGTATCTAGTCCATTTATGTAGTATTACTTTATAAACAAAGGAGATTGTGTTCATAATGTTGCTGGCATTTAAGATGGAATACTCCATGATAGAAGGTGTCAGGTATCCGAGGCCACATTGACCTGACTGTTTAGGTGAGAACATTCTATATACCTTGTTGCCACCCAATATAAAAAGACTGTGTTGTTCACCGATAAGGTCAGAGTGGAACTTATGACCCACCAGTTTGGGGGCTGGTGTGTCTTGTCATTTATCATGATGGTATCAGCACATATCTGTCTTCCATGTGTCTTTGTCAGTCTGCAGAAGAGAAGGTTACAAAATATCTGCTATAGGAGGCCAGCAGTTTGGCCTTGGTATATATATATATGGCTTAGTTTTGTCACCTGAATGAGTTAGTCCAATATTTGGTCTACTCACATTTAGCGTTTGATGTTTGACAGCCTAGTGAGGAGAGTAGATGAGTTACCCAGGTCACACCAGGGTGGCTTGTGCGCCATTGGCAATATCTGATGATATGGCAGATGTCTGTATCGTAAGAGTCAGAACCCTCTATAACCTTCACGGGAGGCTTGAGGATGCTACCCATGGAATCAAATCGCAGGTTTTCATTGCAATACCGCCTTGGTATTCACCTATAAATCATTCGGCTCCATGCCTATTTTTAATACAAAGGGAAGAATTTCCTTCTAATATCTTTACCTGAGCGAAGGACAGTCCTTGAGCTTTCACAGAGTTTTTTTCACATTCAATCAATTCACCAAAGGGAGAAGTAGAATGATGTTGTTTTCTCGATTGTGGCTGCCATACCCAGGCATACACTTATTTTCTGTAGCTGATCCACCAAGTGCTGGTATTGACAGAAATAAAAACTAGTTCAGGTTCTTTTGCATGCTCTAGATGTTACCATAACCAGCAATCAGACTGAGTCTTTAAAGTGGCCAGGGTTTGGAGAATTGGTGTAAGAGGGTGTCGGTTCTGTCCTTGACCTGTTGAGAAAACAGTGAAGATTAATAACGGTGAGACAAAAAAATTTTTTTGAGTTGGAGTCTCACTCTGTTGCCCAGACTGGAATACAGTGGCACACTCACAGCCACGCTAGCGTCGACCTGCTGGGCTCTGGCGATCTTTCTGCATCAGCCTTCCAAATAGCTGGAACTACAGGCGCACGCTACCATGCCCAGTTAATTTTTTAAAAATGTATTTATTGTAGAGACCCTGGCTGGTCTCAAACCCGTGGGTTTAGGCAATTCACTCACCTTGGCCTCCCAAAGTGCTGGGATTATAGGCTGAGCCACCAAGCCTGGCCATGGGACAAAATTTAAAAGAAAGCCCATAGAGGAGGGTCAGAAGGAGAATAGGATAGACCAAGACAAGCAATCTCCAGTAAGCCTTTTAACAAATGGCCAGAGAAAAGGAAGTATTTGTTAAAAGGGAGAGGGTTCTATTGTTTTTTCCTTTTTTGAACAAGCAGACCTAATGGGAGAAAATAGATGAAAGTGAAGTTTCTTGGTCCATGATCTTGAGAAACACTGTTTACTTCATAGCTCTCTCTGGTTCTGGGGCCTGGGAATTGGCCTGGTAGAGCCTTACTTTAAAGTCACTTATACAGATGGTCTTCCAATTGGCCTAGGAATGCTGATCTGAGTCTAATTTGGTATGATTCACATGAATCCAGAAGGACTTTTCTTTAATTTGATGGCAGTGTAGGTGGTTAGCAGTGTAGTCTTGTGTTGATTAACAACAGGAATACATTATGAGAAACACATTAGGTGGTTTGTTGTTGAATGAACATTGTAGACTATATGTACACAAACGTAGATGATACAGCCTATTCCACACCTAGGCCATATGGTATCACCTATTGCTCCTGGGCTACAAACCTGTACAGCATGTACTGAATACTGTGGGCAATTGTAACATGGTGGTATTTGAGTATCTAAATACAGAAAAAGTACAGTAAAAATATGGTATTATAGCCAGGCTTGGTGGCTCAGCCTGTAATCCCACGCTTTGGGAGGCTGAGGTGAGTGGATTGCCTAAGCCCGCTAGTTCGAGACCCACCTGGGCAACTTGGCGAGACCTCATCTCTACAATAAATCAAAAAAATAGCTGGGCGTGGTAGCGCGTGCCTGTAGTTCCAGCTACTTGGAAGGCTGAGGCAGAAAGATTGCCGGAGCCCAGCAGGTCGAGGCTGTGGTGGCTAGGAGCGTGCCACTGCATTCCAGTCTGGGTGACTGAGTGTGACTCCAACTCAAAAAAAAAAAATGGTATTATAATCTTATGGAACACCATTGAAAATGTGGTCTGTTGGGCAACCCCTTTCCTCCCACTGTGGGAGCTTTTCTGTCCTCTCAATAAATCTGCTTTAAGAAAAAAAAAGAAGGAAAGAAAATGGGGTCTGTCATTGACCAAAATGTCATTATGCAGCACATGAGTGTATTTCCTAAGGTCCTTCCCAACAAGGTGACAGTGCATGCTTTTTCTAAAAACCCTGATGTACATCTAATCTCCCGGTTGAAAAGGATGGCAAAACTTGTTGTTTGATGGCGGCTCTGCCCTTTGTACTTGCTGATGACGCACTCCAAGATTACTACTTAGTTTCT